AATTCGAAATAGCGCTGTTGTGTAGACATACCCTAATTCATTATCAGAACATTTTTTCATTATGTTTCTTCTCACAAACTTCCATGTTCTTTGTCCCACAAGTAACAGTATTTTATACGCACAATGGGCTACAATGGCACTACAAGCACAATTTTGAACCCACTAGAATATTGCAGGCTCTACATTTTTCATGTAACTCAATTTTCTCTGATAAGGTGTGTTTAATGCTCCACCTTTTAATCACCTTTTAATACTAGCCAGCTTACTAATGAACCTTCTCACATACATAAAGAGGAAAGCCATGTCTGACCCAAAGCTCCCATGAGAAATGAAGTAGATAACCCTGCCTGATATGCAAATAATTCAACTTTATACAATGCCTTTCATCAAGGTTTAAAAAGTAATTTGAAAGTTTGATAGGTAGTAATATCCCCATAGATGGAGAAATCAAGACACTAAGGCGACATCTAGACTGCCCTCTCTTGCGCAAAAAATATGCAAATGAGGCAAAGCGTGGCATATCACCGGACCTAATTTGCATAATTAATTAGGATCCATTTTTGCACAAGAGGTTTTTGTGCAAAAAGGAGCTGTCTACACAGCTCCTTTTTCCGCGAAAAAACCCTCTTGTGCAAAAGCCATTTTTCCTCTTTTTTTCAGGAAGAACGGCTCTTGAGCAAAAGCCTCTTGCACAAAAATGGAGTCTCATCAATAATGCAAATGGGGTACAGTGATATTCCATGCTTCACCTTATTTGCATATTTTTTTTGCAAAAGAACTGGCAGTCCAGATGTAGCCTAAGAGTATGTCTACGCAGCAGTGTTATTCCGAAATAATAAAGAGAGCGTCTACACTACAAGCCTTTATTTCAAAATAATGTCGATCTGGAAGACTTCTTACTCCAACTCGTGTAACTCTCATTTTATGAGGAGTAAGGGAAGTTGAAGGCAGAGTGTTCTTCCTTCGACTTCCTGCTGTGTAGCCAGTGCCTAAAGCCGAGTTAAGCTATTTTGAGTTAAGCTATTTCAACTTAAGCTACGCAATTGACGTAGCTGAAGTTACATAGCTTAATTTGACTTTAGCCCTGCTGTTTAGACGTGCCTTAAGAGATTTACAAAGAACAATGAGAAACCAGAAGATTCAAAAGTGGTGCAGGGAAGGAGGGATGTTGTCTGAACAGTAGTAAGGAACGAAGAAAAAAATCACTTCATCTACCAAGGATAAATCACCAGGTAGAGTGGCTATGGTAGCTGTGCAACACTGCACAATAAGAACACAACTATTATGACAGGAAGGAAAAAGGAATAACTTATTCAGTGGAAAATGTGGATATTTACTGTACCTGTTGTTATCCATGATCAATTGTTTACGGCGAGGCCCTAAGATACAACTGGATTTGCTCCAGTCCCACGGACAAACACCTACAGGATCTCTATCAGGCATTCTTAAAACTTAAATACCCACCTGGGTAAGTGAAAAACAGATCAGATTGACAGAGCCAGATGAGTACCCAGCATCAGCTTCTTCAAGCTAGGCCCAACAAACAAAATAACAGAACACCACTTGTCATCACCTACAGCCCTACAATTTAAACCACTCCAGCGCATCATTAACAATCTACAACCTATTCTAGAAAATAATCTCCCACTCTCACAGGCCTTGGGGAACAGGCCAGTCTTTTCCTATAGACCTCAACCTGAAGCAAATCTTTTCCAGCAATCACATAGCACAACTCAAACATACTCATCCAGGAACCCACCCCTGCAATAAACCATTGCCAACTCTGTCCACACATCTATACAAGCAACATCATCACAGGACCTAACCACATCAGCCACCACATCACAGGGTCACGCAACTGTACATCCTCCAATGTGATCTATGCTATCAAATGCCAGCAATGCCCTCTCTCCCATGTATATTAGCCAAACTGTACAGTCTCTATGACAAAGGTTTAATGGACACAAATCAGATGGTAACACACAGAAACCTGTGGGGGAACATTTTAACCTGCCTGAGCACTCATTAATGGATTTCAAAGTAGCCATTCTTTTGCAAAATAATTTCAGGAACTGACTACAGAGAGAGACTGCAGAACTGGCCTTCCTATGACTACAAGTGGTCAGTCCTCATTTTTACCATATCTTCATGGTGTTTCCTCAATACCACACTGCTCTTCTAACATTGTACTGGGTAATTGGTTTGCCACGTGTTTAGGGGGGAAGAGTTCCATCCTTTGCACCATCAATACCACTTCCTTCACTATCTACGGGCTCTGGGTTTTTTTTTTCCATCCAAATAGTGATAGATTCCAGTGATAGATGCATTCCAGAGTAAGGGGGCAAATGATCAGCAAAAATATTAATATTGGGAAGTACAAAGGTGTGGAGGTACAAAGGTGTGAAGAGAAGACCCTCTCACCCAGACCCGTGTCCTCACACATTTCAGGACTGGAAACAGAAGATTATTATGCCTCTTTTCCACACCAGTCACAGGACTTTTATCCCTTCCCTCATGATTCATTTGGTGTTGTGTATTATTTGTATTCCTGTAGCACACAGAGTCCTTAATCAGGGATCAGGACTCTTTTGTGTTAGGGTTTGTACACAGTTTGAATTTCTATTGTTGGGTCATCAATGAAACAAAGACATTTCAGCAAGACACTCTAAATTTGCCTTTACGTTTACATCCTCAAAGGATGCTGGGGCATTTTCTTGCCTCCACACCGGATTTCTGGTTAGCCACTATCTTCAGTTCCTGGGCATGAATATACAATGATTTGTACTCTGTACTCATTTACACTTGTACAGATTGGGTGGAAAATGTTACTATTAAGATTTGATAGCACTTTTAACCCATTGTGCACAGGTATGAATTAGAGCATTGTGCAAAGCAGTGGAGAATCCTACCTGGAAGAAAAGAAAGAGGTCTTGTGTCTTTGGAATATTTACATATTTCTTCCATTATATTCCCATCTGTTGTCACTGTAATGTGGCCATTCTTGATCCCAGTCACAAAGACAGATTGCTGTACAAAAGGACAAAGAGAAGTCATCTGTGACTTTGCATTTTAGTATTCTGAATAATTCTTCTTAACTAGTTGTGATTTTTCTCTCTGCAGTTAATTTTTATACTGTCCTGCTCTATAATTTCCATTCATTATTTTTCTGGGGATTTTTTTTTAAAATTTCTTTGCTTCATTGTTGGGGATGGTACTCTGTCAGATTAATAGGTACAAAGTTGTGTAATGTATATTTTCCTCTTGATATATGTGCTGAATCCACTAGGAACTGTTTTTCTCAAAATCGTAATTTTCAAACAAATAACTGTACACAGAAACATGCAATGTTAATGTTCAGTTAGAACATGGCACATGTTACCAATGCAAAGACTTTGTTTATTAAAGAGAAAAAGATTAAGTTCATTGCATATTATCTAGCACGGATGATACTCCTTACTCTCCTACTCATATATACAAGCAATCTGATAATTAATTAGAGAGAAGATCTTCAAGCTCAATTGAAGGTTTCCAGGAAGATTTCAGAAAAGGATTATTGCTTTTTTAATTAGCTGAGCTCCATAATAACATATTAAAACTATTGAAAGCGGGTTCCTCAGTGCTGCACAAACCAAAGCAATTCAGTATCTCATTTACATTCCTCTCTCAGTCTCTGCAGCAGCTCTATAAATAGAACAGACTATACACAGAAATTTATTACTGCAGCTGATAGCAATTTTCTTTTTTAAAGGTGTCTGGAGGCATTATTCAGGAGGACTCTTCTGGTAGATTTTCCAGCTGAGATTCTCCCTCTCCTGGAACTGTGGGTGGTCAGTTTTGAAGCACACTAATGAACTGTTAAAAACAAAGACTGTCAGCAGAGTTATTTATCATCTTCGGTTAATAAATGCTGGAGTTCTCTCTGCTCTAGATTATTTCCTTTAATCTGATTGTCTGCATTTTGTAAGCAGTGAACATATTTTGTAAAGTCACATTCCTTTGACTTTTTATCACTTAACTTTCTAGGGATTAGGTTATTATCAGGAAAAACATAATGACTGTGGTTTGCCATGGCTCATATCAAGTCTTCTGAAATCAGACCCGTAGGCATGTTTGACCTTATCAAGTGCAGAACAGATGTGTTGGTAACTGCAGTACATTAAGAAATTGTAACAATCATGTAAACCAACCTGTCTTGTTGTCAACTTTATTCCTATTATAAATCAAGAAAAAACAAAATTTTTAATGACAGTGATTTTAATAATACATGATAACCTGAGATTAATGACATACCTTTCTGTGCTTAATATAGCATCTTAGCCACATGCTGGTCTGTCTATTTATGTGCTTATATCACATCCACCATCCTGGTATGTATGTGCCTTACAAATAATGTAGATGAATAGCCTAGCTCAATTACCCAATGTTTGTTTTCCTCCCCCATTCAAAAGCAAATAAGACTGGCTAGAACGTAATTTTTCTCTTATCTTTTTGAATTAATTTCTCCATACATTTCTCAGAAGTTTGCAGGAAGACATGTTGCTTTTCAATATTCTGTTTCAATTTAAATTTCTGTCTTCTTTTGTCAAAGGCTATTTCAGCTATTTCTGTAAATAAGCATGGATTTACATCTCTCTCTCCTTTTAAGACATTAGTATTTTTAATAGTTATTTTAAGCTTTGTTTCTGAAGGTAGGCCCTCAAATACTTAATGAGAAGTTCTGGGAAAAAACCCTGCATACTGTGAAATGAATAGTGAGATAAATTAAAAATATAGCCCGAGTTGCTGGAAGTAAAGTCTTTTAAGTCAAGTAAACTATAAAGCAGTTATTCATTTTCCATGTAAGGCATATTAGCTGGAAAAATGCTTATACCTGAAGCACAAACTAAGAGAAAAGAGTGCTTCAGTAATAAATCTGAGATTATTTGGATTATTATGGAAGTAACAAAAATATTTCCTTTTAATAACATTTTGATATTTATGTTTTTATTTAAATCTATCAGTGATACAGAAAACTGGTTCTGTGAGTGCCCTGGACTCTACTCTGGAAAACTTTGTCAGCTGACAACTTGTGATGAGAATCCATGTGGGAACGGTGCTACTTGTTTTCCAAAATCCAGCCAAGATGTTGTTTGTCTTTGTCCTTATGGAAAAACTGGAATCTTCTGCAATGATGGTAAGAATGATATAATATTTAACAAGTGTTTTGACGTGAATCAGTGAACAGGAACAGGAGGATAGATAGGAATTATTAATGTTAATTAAGTAGATTGGCTTGATTCATATTAAAGATGACAAAGTTTCCACTCTTTATCTTCACCTTTTAAAATCATACAAGGTTAGATCAATACCTGTTCCTGAGATTCACTGTCCATACCGATGCTACTTGTACTTAGGAATTAGGCATTAAAGAAGAATTATCTGTTCTCTACAAATAAAAGCTGCTTATCATATTACAATGGATCTCAAACATTATTATAGACTCATAGACTCATAGACTTTAAGGTCAGAAGGGACCATTATGATCATCTAGTCTGACCCCCTGCACAGTGCAGGCCACAAAATCTCACCCTCCCCTCCTAGAATAATCCTCTCACCTATATCTCAGATATTGAAGACTTCAAATACTTTGAAGACCCCAAGATGCAGAGAATCCTCTAGCTGTGATCTGTACCCCATGACCCCAAATATGGCGATCAGCTAAACCCTGAGCACGTGGGTAAGACTCATCAGCCAGACACCCAGAAAGTTCTCTATAGTAACTCCTATCATCCCTCCATTGACCTATTTCCCACTGATAATGAATGGTCAATTAGTTACCAAGATCATGTTATCTCATCAAACCATCCCCTTCATAAACCCATCTAGTTTAATCTTGAAACCAGATAGATCTTTTTCCAGATAGATTATTGAAAGGGGATATACTGCCCATTTAAGGCCAGAGATGGAACATTGAGAAGCCAGGCTACCCCTATTCCAGGAATTCTGGAGCAAACAAAGGCATATAGGGAGAAGGGAAATGGTCCTGGGGTAATAGCCTACAAGAAATCTTGCAGTTGGGACAAGACTCCCCTCTTCCTCAGCCAAACTAACCATGATCAACTCTGGAAAAGAAGTCTCAGAGGAGTAGCCATGTTAGTCTGTAACTTTAAAAATGAGCAGTCCTGTGGCACCTTAGAGAATAACTAAAATATATATAGTATCATGTGCTTCTGGAAAAGAAGGCAGCATATACTATGCTTCTTCCCTCATAATGGGAATGACATTAGCAGGAAAAGGACTGATTGTCTGCTGGTCTGTCCCATCACAGGGGAGAAATGACTGGTGGTGTGATCTGGTCTCCAAGTAGGGGAGGAAGGCAGGAAGGCTGCACCCCAACAGAGATGCCTGGGTGTTAAAGACTTTTATCAAGAAGGTTTTGTTTTGCATTCTTTTGAAAGACGTTGGTGCTAGCATGAGTGGAACTCACTGAGAGCAATTTAAAAGGGCCAACTAAGAGAAGTCACCTTTGGAGCCTTAGTCAGCTACAATTGCATTTAAGGAATACACAAGCCTTCAATTGATCATTTACATTGTAGGGGTTTATGGCTACTATTGTCAATCTGGATGATTAAAGGAAACAATAATTCAGGGATAGAAATGAACTGAGCCTGGACTGAGTCTCAGTAATTCTTATCCATGTCAAAACTCTGTGACATCAGAGTTGTAGGTTACAGTGAGAGCAGGATAAGTCTCATTACCTAATCCAGTAAAAGTGACCATGAACCGTAAATTGACCTCACAAGAAAAATAACTACCTATTTTATTACATCATGGATGCAGGGTTCCAACCCTGAGGAAACTATAAAAGTTACTGCAGAGACTGCAAATTATGCTATTAATTATTTCAGTAAATAATTTGAATAAAATGTCACACATTGTCACAAAATGTGGCAGCTGTGATGTTGTGTAATGGGAGGGGGGATCGTAATAAGAGAAGACAAAAATCCTGATTTCTGTTGTGACCAATTCAGCATGCTTGATTTTCTAGTCTCTTAAAGACACACACCCAACAGCCTGCTAAGGATTCTGGGTAGTATAGCCCAACAAGCATTTTCCCTGTACCAGGCTATGCTATTATTAGAATGACCAACCTGGCCTATTTTACCCTCTACAAGATGAATTCAACTTCTAAGAATTTAGTGGTAGTTTCATACTTCTGACACCAGAATTGAAACCTATGTTAACAGTCTTGTGAATTACAACTAGTCTCTGTCTTAAACAAAAGTGCAGCTAATTCTAGGATAGAAACCAGCAACCATGTCATTGTTCTCATCAACACTACACACTAGTTTGTAATAAAAAGTAAAGAATACTTTATCCAGTTTAAAACAGATACAATTACTCAAATATGTATTTGGCCATATAACTAGGTATTTCATGAAAGCAAGGCCATGGATTGTAATGGTTTTAAATTGTTAAAGGCCTCAGCATAGAATAATAGAAGTTAAGAATCATTGAAGGTTAGGGTTGGAAGAGACCTCAGAAGGTCATCTAGACTAACCTTCTGCTCAAAGCAGGACCAACTCCAACTAAATTAAGGCCAGCCAGGACCATCAGATCATTCAGTCTGACCTCCTGTATATCACAGGCCATTAACATCAGCCAGTACCCGTTCACTGAAAGTAGAACAAAGTGTTATAGTAACACAGGGTATGTCTAGACTACATGCCTCTGTCGCCAGAGGCATGTAAATTAGACTACCCAGCATAGTCAATGAAGCAGGAATTTAAATATCCCCGGCTTCATTAAAATATAAATGGCCGCTGCGCTGTGCCGGCTCAGCTGCTGGGGGCTGCCCTTTGAGTGAGCCCTTCGGTGCAGACCAAGAACGAGAGTGTGTGTGTAAAGGTGGAGGTTTTGTGTGATATAATATAATTTATATCGCATTGTTAAAGTGTTTCTTAAAGTGTGTTCCTCGGCACACCAGTGTGCCACAAAGCAGTCAGAGATTTGCCACAGAGCTATGGTGACCGTATGTCCTTTTTTTTGCCGGACCGTTGCAGATTTAAAGATACCCAATGCTAGCACGGTGCAGCAGCAACTCCTTGCCTCTACCCAGCACCTAAGCGGCTCCCTTGGTGCTTTACTCAGCAGCCAGGGCCGCTGCTGGTGGCACGCAGAGTCCAAAGCTCTGAGCTTCCATGCAGAGTGCGCCAATGTCTGTCAACCCCCTCCCCCCCCACGCACACACACACCCCGCGTGCCCCTTCCCTCCTGTACGGCTGCCAGCCCAGCCTCCTCCATCCACAGGCAGCCGCCACCACTGCCAGAGGGGGAGGTTGCTGGTTGGGGTTCAAACCTTGCAAGCCGCTCCTGGGAGCTGCTGTTGGAATTCTGGCAGGGAGTGCGCAGAGCCCGGCTGGAGTGCTGCAGAGTGGGGAACATTCAGTCTCTGTGCACAGCCCTTTCTCCCCCCGCCCCTTCCCACACTGCTGGGGAAGCAGCAGTGCACAGACCCGCTTGCTCTGCCACGCTCTGCAAGCTGGGTCTGGCGGGGTGGGGGGTTTCTCCCCTTCCCCCTGCACTCTTCCTATGGGAGCCAAAGCTGGTGCACAGACTGGACTGCACTAAAATTAGCACTGTGAACTGCCCCACTCCAGGTCCAGCAAGTGGTCCTGCCCTGGAAGCAGCTGCGGCCAGGGCTGCAGGAACTTTTGGGGCCTGACCACAGACTCCAGCCCTGCAAACTGGTAGGCAAAAGGTGGGGGAGGAGCACAAAGAGAACTAGGGGGAAGGAAGGTGGGAGAGGAAGGGGCTTGTGCTGGGGGGAGGCAGGAGAAAAAAGGGAAAGGCACCAAGGGACTGAGTGGAGGAGAGACAAATGCCAGGGGGCCGAGTGGAGACAATGAGGGAAGGTGTCAGTGGGGGTGGGAGGGTGGAGGGGACAGGGTGATGCTGGGAGAGGAGAGGGGAAGAGCATTGGGGGCAAGAGGAAACAAGGGGAGAGGAAGGTAGGGGGAGAAG